TTTCAGGGGCTCTCTGTACATCCAAAAGTTATTCAGAGATCAAATAACTTAATTTAGAATTTGATTTTAGGGAAATCTTGTTAAAGACAGCAAAAACTTAAATATTTGACTTAGCTGTCAGTAGAAAATGAAAGTTAGATGTTCCAACCACCTTAGGGTTGAAAAAGGGTTAACTCAGTGTTCATTGGCACCAAAGCTAAGGCCAGAAAAAGCTAGTCATGAATCCATTTCTCTATTGGATAGTCACCATGTAAAATACAACACATAACTACTAGTTGCTTCATTAAACTAAGCATGTTAAAATAACTATGATGTTACCTTATCAATAAAACCCTGGACAAACTCTATGTAGGAAACTGAAAATCTGCGTTTATTAAACTGTTTCTTTCACCATATTCGAAGCCAGCTTATTTAAGTCACATGAACTTGAAGAGCATTGAAATTAATTTGTATGAGTACTCTTTTTGAAGTTGAATGGAATTCCTTAAGGCCTTTTATCATATAGAAATACAACATATAGTAGGTAATAAATTACATGTGTAAATGCACCCTTACACGTGTAAAAGATTTCTAAGCAATCTCCCAAGTCGGTTTTAAGAGAAAGTGTTTGTGATATAGAGTAAGAATAGGTAGGGCAGGTGGGGCAGTCTCAGAGGAACTAACGGGGCTAAGAGTCTTTCTAGACCTTCTATTAGTCTGAGGAGCCTGGCAGACTTGGAGCCAGAGAAGCATGAAAAACATTGCTGAATAGTATTATCTGCCAGTCTGTATTGACCAAGCACGGTGCAAAAGATGAGGTGCTTTATCTTTAGAGACCAAGGGTCAGGAGTCCCAGTTGTGTCTGGAGGCATTGCAAAGGGGTGCTGGTACCTGATGGGCAGTTTCCCATCCAGAGACAAAAGAAGAGGGCTTAGAAAACGTCTTTTCCAATCTTCTTGAAACGAAATTTTGGAAATGTGTTCCCACTGTCCAGAAAGTGTTCTTTCCATGTGAACTGGGTACCCCCATGAATTACATCCAGCATGTAACTCAAGACATGGAGGGCTTCTGGCAGGATTGTCTGGGCTTACCTGCACTGGGGCAGTTGTCCCCTGCTTGTGTTTTGT